GACACGGACCACTGTGCACATATTTATAGAAACATAATTCATAAGCACAGACGAGAAAAAAGAAAAACTTAGTTTAGCATAGACGGTGATGAAAATCGGTTGCTTTTCTCAAAAAAAGTAAGATCTGTGCAATACAATTATGTCTATATCTTTAAAATATTTGTATGTTTTGTAGTATTTCCCTGAAGATGACTGCCGAACACAGTCGAAATATTGGAAAATAAAAATAAATAAAAAAGAAAAATATAACCAACGAGTTTTTCAATTGACCTAAAGCCAAAACAAAAATCCACAAGAATTAACAATGAATAAATTATAGCACAAATTTCGCAAATTTTTTATTTTAATCCTCATACTAAATTTTAAAACAACATCCAAACTCAAACCCTCTACATCAATTCACATGTGCTTATTCAGTAATACTTTTCGTGCATTAATAATAATTACTTATCAGTTACTTATATTAACCCTGACAGGTAATTACGCAGGCAATTATAATGGTGTGTCATAATAAATACAGTAATCAGTTTGGTTTTGGCATTACGGCGCGTCAACAATCAAATGGTGTGCATATCTGCATTAAATCAAAGTTCATATGTTGTTTGTTTTTGGTTCATTCCATCACTTAATATTAACCCATCAGAACCAATCCTACATGCAAAATTTCGTGACAATTCGTCCGTAACTGTGGCTTGTATCGTGTTTACAAATTTTAATGGACAGACGGACGTACGGAAGCACATGTCTAGCTCTACTCACTAGTCGACATATGACCATCGGTATACTTAAAGGTAGGTCTAGGTCCAATATTTCGCGGCGTTACAAGCTCTTGGGGCTATAATATCTATTTGCAATAGTTAAACTTAGGCATTAACTTTTAGATTTCTATCGCTATCGGCTCCCTTACAATATTAAATGTAACAATCAAATATATTTAAAACATTACTGATTCGTCAGAATTAATAGCAAATGATTAAAATCAATTCGTGAAGTCATTGTCAAAATGGTAACTACTTAAAACATTGTGTTAAAAATTTGTTAGCCAATAAAAAAGTACCGATGGTGAAATTTTTTAAAAAAAAAAAAAAAAACTTCGGGTAAAAGTGAAGAAGTACAATGAGTGCATTTTTTCCAGTCAATGTCGTAAATTGACAGATAAAATTGCATACATGCTCTTCTCCTACTTCTATAGCTTCTTATATTAATTAGTTGTGGTTTCTTTTTTTCTTGATTTAGAATAAATTCAAAGTTGTAAATTAACCAAATATAATTGTATTGAGTGTCAATTTCATCTCCAAAATCCACTAAAAATTTAATACAATTTTCTAATTCTGATAAATGTGCAAATTTGGGTAATTTATAAGCTTTGTCATCATTTGTACACTACAAATTACAATGATCTCTATTATCTTTCGCACCAGTTACCTGCGGTTATAATTAACAATAAATTATATTGTTTACAAATTCATTTGATTGTACAATAGTGTTGTACATACACACAAACTGTGTCACTGTAACCAGTTAAACTATAAATCAACGATAAACCATTTCAATGGAATTTAGAGTTTTTGCTATGCTAAAAATCATTCATTACATACAATGCCATAAATCGTAACTATAATTCAAATAAATATTAAGAAAAAATCAATATTATGTTGCTCGTACAGAATCGTATATACCCTTGGGGCGTGTTATTTTATATACATAGAAGACCTTAAGTGTCAAATCTTGAAAACTATATAAACTTACCTTAGTTAAAATTGTTTTTTTTTTTTCGAAAAAAGACGATCAAGCGGACAAACTTTATTTAGTTGGTACATCATTTTGATGGAAGCTATATCTAAACCTGAAACGTCTTTAATACAATACGCTATGCAATATTTCACGTAAGGCGAACATACATAGGCATAGACACATATACGAGGGAGAAATCTACATCTGAGCCGATTTCAACAAAACAAAATATCGTGCAAATAGAACAGGATCTATGGTGCACCATTTACATAAACTGAGACCATTTACATAAAATGAGTTAAGAAAAAGCATTGTGGACTAAATTTCATACCCTCTGCTAAATTTCGTGAATATAGACAAACACAGGCTCATCGTTGCACCATTTACATAAAATCGGACGAAAATATATATGGTAGCTATATCTAAATCTGAACCTATTTCAACAAAACTTTACGGATGCCAAGCTATAGAAACAACAATACTGTATGCAAAACTTTGTCTCAATCGGACGAATATTGGGAGTTTGGTACTCCATTTATATAAAATCGGACGAAACTATATATGGAAGCTATATTTAAATCTGAACCGATTTTTTCCAATTTCAATAGGGTTCGTCTTTGGGCCAAATAAGTGAGCTGTGCCAATTTTCAAAATCGGATCATAAATGCGACATGCAATTTGTTCACAAAAATACATGGACGGACGGACATGCATAAATCGACTCAGAAAGTGATTCTATGCATATTCTCAAAATGAACCATGGGTCTATCTCGATTTTGCCTGTTACAAACATATGCACAATTACATAATACCCTGTAGCACAGTGTGGTGAAGGGTATAAAAAAAAAAACAAAACACAATGGAACACCGAAAACATGTTCGCCCTACTACATTCCATCAACAACTAAAAAAGATTTGTCGTCTTCCCCCTATATATAGTGCACATATTGGGATACTAAAATGTACCGAAATGTCATTAAGATATTAGGAATTGTATGAAAATGTTGGGCATCTTATAGCAAGAGCTTCTAAAACTGTTATTGCTATAAATTTTAATAAATTATCAATCAACATGTCACATATCAAAAAAAAACTTTATATATTTATTTTTGTTTTTGCCACATTTGTTTCTTTTTATATAACCAAATAGAAAAAAAAATATTTTATTGTGTATAAAAAGATATATATAACGAAAACCATTCAGTTTTATAATTTTCATTTGTCATTTTCAGTTTAACTGAAAATTTAATAGGGGTTTCAAGCTGTCAAAGTTTATTTTCTCCATAAATATGTTTTGAGTTGCATTTGAAAAATAATCATTAATGAACATATTTGACTTCAGGATGTATGACGCATGAGTCCTTCTTTAGAATCGCTTTATGGAACTTTCACTTTCAAAGGATATCAAATATTGAGGCAGCTTATTAAGATATATTTGGTCAATTCCCGAATCACACTTTTTTCATAACTTGATTTTTATGACTGCTTGTGAATATTTTTAACTATCTTGAAATAAATATTAATTCCTACTCGGATATAGGTATATAGAATTAAAAAGGGGAGTCACCGAGTAAAATTAACACAATAAACAATTATATGAATGCTGTACATATAATTGATGTAAAGCTCGGTAAAAACGAATGCAATGATACTGAGGTAAAACGCCGATACTGGATAAACTATTCAAAAACTACACCTTCAGATACAAGCGAATAATCACTAAACACACTCAATTGGTGCCATACCTTCTAAATGTATGTAAATGTTTTTTTGATAATGCAATATATTAATCATTCTTTATTATACCCTCAGCATTATGCCTAATGAGGATATATACACTTTGATACGGTGTGCCTCATCGTAATATTTCTTTGAACCCAATCCGTTTTAGATAATTTGGAGTTGATTTGCAAATGTCAGTCCGTCTGTCTGTCTGGCCGGCTGGTGCGCAAGATAACTCTCAAATGGAATAATCGATTTCATCCAAACTTTGCAGATCTTAATATTTCATTCAAAGATGGGTGTTAGTACATTAAGCCTGATAAGTCATTTTAATAAGACAAACAAATACTGTTATCTATCCGAAAAATGGATCCATTGGTTAACTCCTTCTGGCACCTTTTCCACAAAGGGTCAAAGTTTTCAATATTTATAAATCCAATATGCGGCGAACGAAATGTCCAATTTGAAACAATCTTTGCACAACCTATTATCTCTACCAAGCCTAGATCAAGTTCTCCGACAGAAAGGGTCAATATTTTATAATCTTGTAAATTTTAAATTAAATTGAATATTCCCTTCCTCGTGTAATGTGTTTTGATTTTTTTGATCGGGACATCAATCTAAATTTCCTAGCTAACAACGCTACATCTAGTACATACATACAACCGTACAATTTAAAAACCAACCAATTTTTGGATATACTATCATCATCTCGAGTCTATGAATAAAAATAACGCCTTAGAATAAAAATTTTGTAATTTTTCATACAAAAAGTCTGGGTTAATTTGCCCTCTAAATATTGATCGATCTTCATCAAAATCCATGCTTACTCCGTGATCAGACCCCTTTCTCTGTGTTAAATTTCATGATGCTCAGGTCATAGTCGTAGCCCTTAGAGCTACCAGAAAACCCGACAAAACAAAGTAGGGGTCTTCTTTGGCCAGAAGACATCCTACATGCAAAATGACGATTGGTCCATAACTGTGGCCTTTATGTGTTTACAAATTATATTGGCCAGAAGGACGGACGGACACATATGTCTAGATCGACTCAGCTAGTCGAGATATGACATCGGTATATTTAAAGGTAGGCCTAGGACCAATATTTCGCGGCGTTACAAACTCTCGGGGATGCACAATGTATTGGGGTGTCGTTGATATATATAATATGTTAGAACATCTATGTTATATATAACAACTATGTTATAACATTTGTTAGAAATGCACTAAAATATTAACCTTTTTTCGCTACAACGAATACGCATGACAATTGACTGTACACAATAAAGTATAGCGACATTGGAAATAAAATATCACAACAAATGTATATGTATGTATATGTAATGTAAATTTATTTTTTATGCAAAATAAGTATATACATTGTAAATTTTTATCATCTAAAATAGTTTTACAGTTTTTATGAAATCATTTGAGTTGCGAATACGCAAAGAGTATAACCGAAATAAATTCAATTCACTCTCACCCAGTAGTGTTTCTTTTTCGTATTTGGATGAAAGCACATAATTTCTATACAACACAAAAAAATATTTAATAAAAAAATGAACAGTCTAACATATCCGAACATTGCACACACTCACGCACACATGTGCCTCATCTACTCTACGGTCACGGATTTGGCCAAGTTACGCGGGCAATCGACGTCACAGCCACGGAGAACAGCAATGTGGTAGGAGAGCAATTGCATGGGGATGACAGTGAGAATACCCTGAAGACAGTCTACAGTGCGTGGGATTTCCAAGCTGCGGGAGCAGAATGCTTTTGTTTCTTCATCGCCTTGCTCGCAGATGATAATAGGGCAACCTTTACGTGATGTAACTTGTTGCAGGGCATTCATACATTTCACATAAACTGGATCACGAAGTACGATCATAAGGACAGGCATCGAGTCATCAATTAAAGCCAAGGGGCCATGTTTCAATTCTCCAGCCATGATGCCTTCACTGTGCATGTAGGTCAATTCTTTGACTTTCTGCAGGGAGAGAGCAAAAATTTTAGTTATCAAAAAATCAAAACATTTATTTTTTAGCAATGACTTACCAAAGCACCTTCCATGCAAGTGGCAAAGTTATAACCACGACCCATAATCAACAGAGATTTGTGTTGGTACAAATCCTTGGCCAATTCCTGAACTTTGGAGTCCAATTTCAGGACTTCACGAATTTGATCGGCCAATTTTGATAGGCCTTGAATAATTTCCAAACGTCTTTGTTGCAGTGACAAACGATCTTCGGACATGACCAAACCGAACATGACCAATGAAATGAATTGTGATGTATAAGCCTTGGTGGAGGCCACACCGATTTCAGGACCGGCATTAATGTGGACACCACAATGAGATTCACGGCAGATACTACTGCCCACAGTATTGGTGATGCCGACAATGAGAGCACCACGTTGTTTGCAGTAACGCAACGCCATCAAAGTATCGGCAGTCTCACCAGATTGCGATATAAAGAAACACACATCATCACGGAAGATGGGTGTGTTACGATCAAGGAAATCCGAGGCCAATTCAATCATAACTGGCAATTCGGTGAGTTCCTCCAAGAGTTGGCGCGTAGCAACGGCACTGTGATACGATGTACCACAACCAATCAACATCAGACGACGGCAACGTTTAATTTCGGGAATGTAATCCTTGATGCCACCCAATACAATGGTATTGGTGTCGAACCGAACGCGACCACGCATGGTGTTGACAACTGATTCGGGCTGTTCGAAAATTTCCTTCAACATGAAATAATCGTAGTTGCCCTTCATAATTTGTTGGATTTCCATTTTAAGGGTGGTAATTTCACGAGCATGGGGATCATCGGTTGATTTTTTGAGACGATGAATGCTCAAACCACCATCACGAACGGCAGCAACATCATCATCCTAAGGAAATGAAGTGAATAAAATGATATTAATGAGTATGTTAAAAATATAAATACAATGATACAATAAAAAATATTTTTGAAACGTAAAAATGTTTTAACAATGACCCCCAAAATTTAAAGAATTTAATGAAACCTAAGAAGAATATAAATTTTGACAAGTATCCAAAAGTACGATATAATTATCTAACTTTAAATTTATAACCGATTTAACGGGTTCTGACTGCTGAAATCAGGATAAAGCTCATAATATTGTGAAGGGTTTCAAACCGATTTAGCAGAAATTTCCCATTTCATATTTCCATGTAATGAATTCCGATGTTTTGTGGTCCTTCTTAAATTAATTGCTTTATATTTGGAATTTCAGAATTTCATAAACGCAAGGATATGATATCATCTTTCCTGTGTCCCCCAAATTTGGATTCGAATTGCCAGCAAATTTCGATGATTCAAACAACGAACTTGACTAAGTCTGATGATGTTGAAGTAAATGAATTTGAAATATGAATGGAATAACTGAACAGTCTAACAAATTCCACCCAAGACAATTATTCCAAATATAATCCATATAGAATCTGAACATGGTAGGTAGTTTAATGTGTAGTTAATTCCGTATCGGACGCGAGATTAAATACTCGTATCATCATTCAATTCACACACATTCAATTGGAATAACTGAAAACCCTTTGTACACACACATCGACAAATGTGTGAGAATGCGAATTCTTACGCTCTGTCCGATGCTGACTTAATTTATCATTTACCATTTCGCTCATCATTTCAATTATAATAAATCTTATATCACTTCAGAACCTTTATTCCTAGTTGTTCACATATCACAATCCATCACACATATGATGACCCTTTCATGAAGGAAAAAAAATATCATTAAAAATTCCTACATTAAAATTCTATCCAATATGAACATATCTCTCTATTTGGGTCAATCTGCAGTCGAATACTTCTAAGAACTACTCTAAAGCGAAAAAAACATACAAACAAACAAAAAGATAACTCCCGAAAAGTCACGTCATCTGTTTTTGTTTTACACAAATCATGCAGCGCTGAATGGAATACTCAATTGTATATATTCTTGTACTTACCTCCAAATAAATCACACGATTGGTGTGCTCAATAACAGCTGAAGCATCGGATGCAAAGAAATATTCCACCTCCTTCTGTTCCATGGGCAAGAACTCCGATGTGCTCTCCGAACGTGGCAAAACTGATAAATCACGATTTTGTACATATGGACGATGTTCTTTTTTGATTAGTATTCAACAAAATATTGTTGGTTTATTTTTGATGGCATTGATGATGTCGATAATAAAAGCCAATTGGCAGTGGTGGAGATGGCGATGTCAATGGCAATGGGCGTTTTTTTTTTTTATTTTATATTTCAAGTAGAAGCAGAAGCATTTTGTTGGTGTCGATGCCATTTGGTGTCGTTTTTTTATGATATTTACAATGTCATCGATGCACATTGCATTTGTACATTATTTGGTAACAAAAATATTTATTTTGTATTTCGGTATTGAGTTTTAACCATGGCAACCGCACAGATAATCCAAGATAAAGTTTTGTGGTATTTGCGTTAATGGCAGGCATACGATCCATAGTCCAGAAGTAATTGCAATATAATTTTGATTCAACAATTGCAGATTTTAAATGAATGATGGATGGTGCCAAAGAGAAAATAATCGATAATGAAATCAAAATGTTAGATTAGCATAAAATTCAATTCGAAATAAAAACTGAGGCATAACATTGTAATAGCGATTTAATTATAAATATAACTATTAACCAAATAAATAGATATGTAAATAAAAATATTTATATGAAAAAATGATTGATTTAAAATAAAACGGAAAAATCCCACACCAAATATTTATAATATATAAAAATTTAATTAACTAGTTTTTTAGATGTTCAATGAATAGTTGTTGGGAAATATTCCAATAAAATGTATTAATAAAGTTGCGGATTTCACAAATAATAACATAAGTCAATAAATGATAATTTTTGAATAATTTATTAAAAAACAAGTCGTTTTTTACATTCACAAGAAACATCCTGATTTAAAACAATATATTTTTTAAGAATTTTGTCAATTTTTGACTTGATTGAGATTTTTGTGTAAACCGCATTTGTTTATTTTTATAAATATTAATAACAAATATTTAATAGAATCCAATTTTAATTGTTGAAATATCATTCATGCTTGTTTTATTGTAGTACGAATGAATATGTATATATATATGCACTTTCATTGATATATTTAAAACAAAACATGTGCAAAAACCATTTCTGTGCCTAGTTAGATTCACATTATTTTTATAATTTAAACAAATACGAACATGTGCTTCGAGGTTTGATGAGATGATTATTCAAAACTGTTTACGATTTGGCGCCATATTTTCGCGGTTTGGTAAAGTTTGATGATTGTACTCAAATTATTGCGAATTTCAAATATGTATTTTCTATTTATGTATATTGTTTGTCTTATCAAGTTATTTTAAATCGGTTTATATGATATGACCTTATAAATTTATAATATAATAATTTATAGACTTATGAATAGCACTAAGGTGACCCCACCCATTCTCAGATTCAAAATATTTAATTTTGTTTTGATTCGTACCTACACTTATTCAAGAATGTCCCTATAAAATTTCTGGTGAAAATCTCAACAACTTTTGAAGATATAGCCGATTTATTGTGTCATGCGACGGCTGAAGTGCTTCTCAAACTTTAAACGCGTTTTTCTCGAAACAGTGTTTTTACGAATGGCGGGCACGATAACTCAAAACCTAGTAATCCAATCGGTTCCAAATTTTGTATAGGTATCTTATTTTTTAACTTGGTTCCCCTAAATATGCCTTCATTCAAGGATTTCAACGAATACAATATTTTTAATTCCTTTCCTATCATTTTTTAATTTCTTTCGAATAATGTTATTTAGAAATCGATTTTAAGATTTTTTATTTTCCGCAATTGAATAAGCTTGAAGTCAATTAGTTTTTAAAGTGTTATTTTTTCTATAATCCCAAATGTATTAGAAGATATAAATTGCTACACACATTCCCTTACACATACATGCATAGAATAATCCTTGATTTTGAATAGACCTTAAGTATTTATTTATTTGTTTTATTTCCTACAAAAAAGCTATTGTATAACAATAATTATATTTATTTAAGCAAAAACCTATTATCACTTTGTTACTGATTGTTTGTCAATTGTGCATTTTTTTATTTCCCTACTCGAGAATATTTCATTTAATTAAGATATTGTTTGACAATATCTGTGCGCTATCAAATTTTGTTTTATTATTATTTATTTTTTTTTATTTTAATTATTTATTTAATTTTGTTGGTTTTATTTGGCAGAAAGCGACATTTGTTAGATCGAATCAAAGTATCAATCCATCCATACCAACTGTGATGCATAGATGCATACATACGTAAATGTTTTTTTTTCGATTCGATTCCATGCAGTATAAAAAATGGAAAAACAGAAATAACTAAATACACACAGTGAAACCCATTGACATGTACACTTGTATGAGATGGCTTTCAGGTTTGTTTATTGATATAAATATATGATATGCAGGCGTGCGAGGTTTTACTGTACACACATACATACATAAAATTAAACAAATAAATCTAATTTCAGTTAGTTTTATTGATAACAATTTTTTTATATTAAATTCCTTGTTTATATGCTAAATTGAGTGGAATTTGTATGAATAACCACAAAAAGTTGTTTCTAAATGAAATAAAAAGCGTTTAAATGTCGATTGCATTTCACGCCTGCTGATGTTCATTGCCCGGGTGTTGTAATCAAGTGAACTGTAACTATTCACATCTATGGAGTTTTGCATATTTATTTATTTGAATTAATACATTTGTACATACGTATGTACACTTGCGCATGCATATGTACACAGTATATATGGAAATGGCTTTTTTTGAGTTGAAAATATTTAAAGTATTCTTTTGTTAAGCATTTTGGTATGTCTTATATGTGATATTATGCACATACTGTGTTCCATGGCCTGACATCGTTTGACGTCTTTTTTTTTTTTTGAAAGCATTTAAATCTGATGTATTTCTGTGAAAATACCACAAATATTTGTTTGTCGAAATGCACAAGAAAAACCATGTGTATGTGTAAGTCATAAGATCCAAATTGTTGATAAAGCAAAAAAAAAGCATTCCTTTTAAAAAGAATCCCAAAAAGTAATTGGACAATGTGAAATGCTTAATTATTTTGAATAAAATTCTCTGTGATATTGTCATTTATTTTCTTATAAGGAAATATCACTTTTTATTCTGATATTTTATTTGCGTTCATGTACACATTTTTTGTTACAAATTGGGAGAAATTATATTTAAACTGGGACTCATTGCTATAGTTGAAATATTTTTAAAATTTTATATTTAAAAATTTGCAAAGTTCGCAGATGGAGTTTAGAGTATGTGATTTTCACAAATATTTTCGGGCGGAGGTTGGATCTTTAAAAAACCCAAGGGGACCTTTCATATTTCATTGAAAACCAGAAATATTAATTCCATTAAAATTTACCTGAAATGATGGTTACACAAATTGAAAATGGAAATTGACTGCATCCAAACGTGTAATATTTGGAAATTTTCAGCCTAGCATCCCAATTCGCTCCGAAGAAAGCCCAATGACAACAAGGAAGCAGTGTCGGCCAATTTTGCTGAGGTCTGTGTCGAAAAAATTATTTTTTTTCTCTGGAATAATTTTTTTATCAATCTGCAAAGTATTTTATAACTAACGGATTGTATACTCTTCCAAAGCGTAAACCGTAATACTTCTTTTTTTTTTAGAAAATTATCAAAATTGTTGTTAAGTTCCGTTCCAATTTTCTGATAGACTAAAAAAATTTCAACTCCTGATTAGCCGCAGCGTTTAATTTTAAGGATGGGCATCTAGTTAACAGAGTCATTCACCCCTACTTTTTGAATATATTTATTTTACTATGAAAATGTTCACATCAAGGAAAACATACTGAACCAACCTGTTCATTAATTAGCTATTTAGTGTTTCGTTTTTTTTTTTTTGCATCCAAAATATATATATTTTTAATTATATACAATTTATACATATATACATTTGTTAAAAAATTGTATATGTACACATATGTGTGCACATAATCACTAATTAATGACAAACAATGGAATATCACAAATTTCCACCCACATCCCCTTCATATCCTATTTTTGGCGAAAGTAATGAATTTGCAATTAGCAAATTATTTTCATTAAATAATTTTGATTAAATTTATTGTGTTAAATATAGGTATTTCATTGAACATATGCAAATGTATGAAAATATGTATGCAAGTGCGAATTATAAATACGCTTATATTTGTATGTATTTTGAGGTATTTACAAGTGTGACATTGTGTGTGTGTATTCGGATAATATTTACTCAAGTACACCGATAATATAAACACATTTATTGTGTTTACGATTTTGAACGATAAATATGTAAATTTTATCAAAAAAAAAAAAACAAAAAATCATAAAAACATGCATTTCAGCTTTCCGGAAAATTAATGAGGTGAAATAGCAAATAATAGCCTTAGTAATCAAAATAAATTGAAGAGTACAATTTTTCTTGAAAATTTTGAATTTTTGAAAAATGTTTAAGAATTTTGTTGTATTTTTAATGTCATAACCAAAATAGCAATACTGCAATAACATTTTTTTTTTTTGGAAGGATAATTTAACGTAGTTGGAAAAGTTTAAGAAATTTGATAAGAAATTATGTATGTTAATTAACGATGTAAATACAATAACTGATACATGAAATGAGTTTTCTTAAATAAGTTCAGTTGAGATTATAAAAATTTCATTTGTGATTCCGAAATGTTATTTCAAAAGTTTCGAGGATTCGAAATTCGAGGATTTAATTTCCAAATACTCTATTCTTACCCCACACATCTATGTTGAAAGGGTCTGAGTCGATCTAGACATGTGCGTCCGTCTGTCCATTACTACACAGTTAATAAAACATTGGCATGTAGGTTCGGTTCGAACTAAAGAAGACCCCTACTGTTTTTGGTAATGATCCCTTAACATTTTTCTGACCCGAACTTCTAGAACATTTACATTGAAAAACAGACCTGACCAAGGAATAAGCATGGTTCTTTTCATGATACTCAGGCAATATTTAACAGGACATATGACCAGAAACGTTAATGTTAAAAAATTTCAACTTTTTCATACAGAGGAGCTGTTGGCCTCTAAGCGGTCAAGAGGGTGCAAATACCGCGAAAAATTGCTTTTCCGTGGTAGTATTGTAGGTTATCATATGGTCGGCTCGTCCGACTATACTGCTCCGATTACTGGATAAAATTCAAGAATATTAGTTTCGGAATTCTTTTTATGGATGGAATTATTCGAATTTAAAACTAATTTATTTGAAATATCTGAATTGTAAGATTTTCTGTCAAATATATTTCTTGTGAATTGAACTAGTATTTTTTTTTCTTATAAAGAAAATTTTTAATTAGTGACATCAAATATTAAAATTTGTATTACATATTAACAGATTTTTGTTTCTGTGTATGTAATTCCTATAAAAAGTAAATTTATTTAAAAAACATAAGGCAATCTTACAACAATAGCTTCATATTAACCCCGTGTTTTATAACAATTATAAATAAATAGCGTACAAAGTCAGACCAAATTAAATCTTCATCAACAATTATTTTTCGCTTGCAACGAAATGCATACATGTACACTTACTTACACACATACATACATACGTGCTGTATGTGGGAGTGTGTGCATGTGCGGTATGCATGCAGGCATGCATTTCGTTAACTTTTGAAACAACTATAGATTGATGTTTATTTAACGAGTTTGGGTTACTAATTGGTTGCTGGATTGCTATAATTAGTGTGAAAATGTATTTACATAGGATTACTGTAGATTACCCGAATGAACTATTTATGAAGTAGTCGAACACCAGTATACATTCTCAAATTCGGTGTGAGTGGATTTAAAATTCGTGTTGTTTTTTGTTTGCTGTATTTCGAATTCCATTTAATGCTTTTGTGTACCCTTAATAGTTTGAAATATACCCTTTTATATAATAATATTTGCTTATTAGGCATGCAAATCCTAAGAAAATAAATTACAAAATTTTGCAAATCTGTGTATTTGTTTTATGACAATAAAACACAGACGTACACATACACACACATATAAACATATGTATTTACACTAGTAGTCATTCATTTAAACAAATGATAATATTTGTTTAAATCCCCTTATCGTAAATACACATATACAAACATATGCTTTTCCTTGAACATGCACACAGGCATACTCTGCGAACACATACATATGTCCTTATGCAAATAAGTCTGTAAGTTTTTCTTTTTTTTATTTATGAATGGATTGAATGAAATATAAATTATAAACAATGGATTTTTAAGTGAGATATAATGATGCAGCAAAAATAGGTTACGGAAAATCTTGAGTAGGAGAAGGACAGAAATGACCGAAGAAGGATGCTGAGATGTTGTCAAGTTTATTTACTGACCACAACCGATATTGATTATGGATTTAAGTCTAAATTCCCCTTGTCCTGCGTAAGCTACACAAGGACAAATATGGGGAAATTATGCCTACTAGAGTTGTTTGTTTACCTTGAGGTTTGCCAGTTCCGGTCTCTTTAGATGAGTTAATTGTACGATTTGTTCATTTGATTTGGTTTTGTTACGACACCATTTAGGATATTTTTCATTTTTTGTTTTGTTTCATGTTTGGTTTTGTGGTTTTGTAATTTATATTTTATGTGGAGATGAACACAAAAGGACATACATGGTCGACCGAAGGACGAGAGGACGAGAGCAAGAAAATAATAAAAGTAAATATTTAGAAATTTCATTCACAGCTACGGCAAATGGTTTCATAGAAAACTCATAAATAAACTATTTACAGGAAGCCAAGCAAGGGAAAAAAGAATTATATGTAGACCATAAAATCCCACAATAACCATATATACTATGTATTTAGTACTTAATAATAATATTTTTGCATACTCATACAACATACACACACATATGCAAAGCCCACCCTACATTTTCACCACCCTCATGTGACTACATGTGACTGAGGAGGTTGGGTGTGCATCACTGGGTGTGAGTTTGTATTTCGTATGGAAATATAGTCATGACAATGTTAATATACATTAGTAGACACCTTCACCATTACCCTTGCGGTTAGTCGTTTATATTTCATTTTCGGCCAGAAAAAAAGCATTCTCATCCGCCTCTTAAAGGCGTCATCGATAGCGTGCCCATTGACCATTTAGTTCAGAAAAATAAAGTAAAATAATATGGCAACTACCTTGTTCACTTTGTTGTTTTTTATCGTCTATGAACATCGTTGAAAAATAGTAGTAGATAGCGAGCAGTAGTAGTGGTAGTTGTACAGTGTAGGGGTAGAGGTTGACGTTAAGATAGTAGTGGTGGTAGTAGTAGTGAGAGTGTTGATGGTAAGACACGATTCGGTTTGTTGACGTAGTTCCGACGTTGAGAAGTTAGTGGGTGGTTTTTTGGGCGCGGGGTTAAAACACAGGACCCCAGATCCCACGTAGTTACACATACACGCAAATTGAATGGCGAACAGCGAAAGTGAGTGTGAATAACACAATCAATTCCGGGTCGATTTAACACACAGATGATTTTGTGCGTATGCAAGTAGTAAACATATAAAATGAGAACAGTACAAAAACACGGGTATACACGCCCCACAAACACACACATACGCATCATTCATGAACATAAACAGAACCACACACATAGAAGATAGGAAAGAAATATAGAAAGAGGAGAAAAAAGAGAAAAGAAACAATTGACTTATTAATAAACACATACAGTTGTAGGACACAGGGAGAGGACAAGACACAAAGTTAGAATACAATTCTCATCCATTCAAATAGAAGTTGGTTTTTTTGTTTTTGAGGTTATATAAAAGGGACGAACGACAAATGAATGCAAATTACAACAACAATGTAGTCAATATCATCATCCGAGCGTATAAATATACCTTACCTTTGCCATACAGAATTGGAATATGATCGGTGGCCAAACGAGTTTTGGTTTTAATGCCGACCAAAAGGGGAGAGCCACGTCTCGAGGCAACACATTCACCGGGGAAGTATTTTGATTTCAGGGCGATAGCAAAAGCGCCTTCCTGCAAATTGAAATTAAATAAGAAACTCGATTATTATTAAGATATATATAGTATATAAAAAGATATATATAGTATAATATATATATATATATAGTATATAAAAAGATATATAAGATATATATAGTATAAAAAATTGTCTTGTCAAAAAAAAAAATCTGTGACTGTTGGAATAATCGGGCTATGTATGTAGATTTTGAAGGTCTGAAAATAAGTTGGGGATCACCCTCATCATAAAAAACCAGCTTAATCTAAAATTAACTAAGGAGGTTTCATTTCTTTCGTTTACAGAGGAAATAATACAATTTTATAAATTGGCGTAGTTAAACGGCAATTATATTACATCAGTAATAGCGCTAGGAGTTCCCCGTCCATCTGCTGTCTTGCAGGATTTTGCTGAGAGGGTAAATTCTCTCAATAGTATTTACTGGTAATGATATCGTAAATACCTATTATATTTCTAATGTATTATTTTAATAAAAAATCGAATTGAAAACAGTTATAAAAGTCCTTAAGATCGAATATGTATGTATATAAATTTAAACCAACGTACACCAAGAATCTACTATTTTTTTACTACCATAAAAAATTTTCCTTTATGATATCGAAAAAAATATATTGATTAACCAATTTTCCAATTACCAAGTACTTACCAATTGTTGAATGGCCTGTTCAACCAATTCCCTGAACGAATATCCTGGATGTTTCTTCCACAAATGATGAACCAATTTAGCAATAACTTCTGTATCAGTATCAGATTCAAATTCATAACCTCTTGTTTCCAAATAAGTTTTTACATCTTTGTAATTTGTGATAATGCCATTGTGGACAACAACAAAACTGTTGTCAAAGTCTGAACGTTGGGGATGTGAATTTCTTTCGCAGGGTACACCGTGGGTAGCCCAACGTGTGTGTGAAATACCAACATGTGTAGTAATAGGCTCTTCAAATTCTTTACCAGTACAACCTTAAAATGAAAATAGAAATAAAAAAAACAGTTTTATGTTATAAATTACATAAAAGCGATTTTACATACTTTTGGCAATTGCATCTTCCAAAACCTTGACTTTGCCAACGCTCTTGATCATGACAATGTCCTTGGGATTGGGTCCATCAATGGCAACACCTGTGGAGTCATATCCACGGTATTCCAAACGTTTTAATCCGTTAACCAATAATTCCAAAACCTCTGCACGGGATTTTGGTGTCATATAGTTCAAATAAGCGAAAATTCCTGAAAAAATTACAAGATATACATTTTAATAATTTTCGTATTGTTTTTTTTTTAATTGACGTTAAAATAAATGAATATGTGCCAATTTACGATTGCCAATTTCAAAGCTAAAATTTCTAGTGCACTGTTAATTCTCATTACCTATATGCATCCAACATATCGTGTTTATATATAGCAAAGAAAATATCGATGTAGTTACTTGATGTAACCTATGAACTTGTTCTGAAGAAAGTGCCAAATAATAATTGAAACTAATTCTTTTCAATTTTTTTACAACCACACCATCGACACTCCGTGTTCGGTGAGATATGAAAAAGGTCTTCCTTGAATGCAACTGAATTTGGCCTTTGTAGTTATTTGGTCCCTCTGTGTATTGTTAATATTTTTTTTTTTTACTTTTCCTTCCGTTCTATTTTGCTTTTGTACAATGGTGCAAACGTGATTGAAAAGGATTTATTTTTCTTAAAACGTTTTTCGCTCACAACCGATTGAAATTTCCGCATGAATAACAGCCAAACACAATGGCAAAATCCTAAAAGGGCCTCACAAGGAATAGAGTGGTCAGATTTGATTAATGTCACGGCTTTTTTGGAAAATGTTTTTTAACAAAAAAAAATGTATTTATTTATATATATATATATATATATATATATTAGATAAAGGTCAATCGTTGAACAATGCCACCAACTATATCTTGACCTTTAGCAATAACACCGCGTTAAGTGGGCGATAACCATTTGACGTTGTAAAAAAGTGTAACAAGCCAAAGCCTAAAACCTTCTTCAACATGATGAATGTTTTGGACAAAGCAATGATATGGGAACAAAATGTAAATCCTTTAATTTAAAAGGAACAAACCAATTAACAGTTAACAACAAAAAAACTGACCTCTGAGAGACATTGTTTGTAAGTGTCACATATATAACGAATTATTACATATAGTATGTCCCTTTATCCATTGATATGAAATCTTCGAAGGTGATTATCGAAACTTACGAAAAAAAATCAGTAAGGGCGAATGCCATCCCGGAATCTTTTCAAATGGTCTATTATGTTAGATGTTAACTTCTTAATATTTTACAGAGTTATAATTTTTTCACCACAATTTCTTTTTAGATTTCCACGTGGCATTAATATATGATTCAATTTCCATATTATGACACATTAACTAAACTTATCAGGTAATCTTTATAAGAAAATAACTGACGTTGTATAGATGACATCCAAATATAAACTCTGAGATATTATCTGAAATGGCTTAATAAAAAATCCTTGAATATCCTTTCTATATTTATTCCTTATGTGGAGCCACCGTAATTTTATTGCACTCCAAAGCAGACTCCTTTTTATGTCTTGGCAAAATACGGTCATCCGAAAATAACCAACCAGACAACAACAGCTTTAGATAACAATCGAACTATCACGAAATATAAAATAGATTTGGACAAAACAAAGCAAAAAAATAAAAAATACAGCGACAATAACAATTGAAATTGTAGCGACATCAGCAGCAGCACCGACGATTCACACACGCACACACCAATATACATATGTACGTATATATTCATATAAAGCTAAAAGTCATGTTGGCAATTTGCGTTACATATTTATGTGCAAGCATAGAATTGGTGCCATTTGATTCTGGACAATCAGATGTAAATTGTAATTTGCAAATTTTCAACAACCGGCTTTTGCTACAAATACACACACATACATACATATTGCCACATGCAAACAAATATGTGTGTATGTACATATGTATGCATATTTATAAACACAGATTTCTTTCTGTATGTTGTAATATTTGTGTGGCTCCGTAACTCTCGATGTGTTCCAAATGGTAAAATGGCCAACTAACAGACATGGTTTTGAACAGCTAACTAAACATCGGCTGTGGATAGATTGAGCAAAAATTTCAATAAGCTAGACGGGAGCGAAAAAGGGGGAAAACTGCCAAAATTTAAAAATACTTGTAACCATAGTAGAAGAGTAGCTGGATTGTAAGGGGGGAAGGATTTTGGAAAGAGTCAATGTAAATATCAGTGTGCAGCAATGTTTGAGTTAGGAGCGAAAAAAAAAACAAAAACACCGACGATAGGGTAAGGCTCACTTCGAGTGTAAATATCTATGAATGTGCGGACAAACAATCTTCTGAAGGCATATTCATACATATGTATGTCAGTATGTTGGTATTGGAATCCATAGTTATGGCCGTATGTATGAATATGTTTAGTTAAACAGGGCACATGCCGGTAACACCCACAAACGTATCTCGCAGTCGAATAATATATACGTGTACGTCATCAGAGTTGCCATTTGTACATAAATGACTAGTAGTTAAAGTCGTTTAAAAGTATATGAATACGATTTTGGGACAAAAACATATCTTTTTCGAAAAACTCATAAAAAGCAGCAATGAATGGACAAAACGAGCCATATTCGCCAATAAAACGTAACCCTCAAATTTGAAATTTTACAGGAGAAGGTTTTTGTAATAAATTCGGATTTAATAAAGCTATTATTTTGAAATTTAGAATTATAGTTTAAAACAAATCTAGTTTATAACAAACCTATAGTTCTAAATTTCAAAATAATAGCCTTATTAAATCTGAATTTATTAAAAAAACCTTCTCCTGTAAAATTTCAAATTTGAGGGTTACGTTTTTTGGCGAATATGGCTCGAAAAGTCGTACGAAATAAGTTACCTTCACTTTTTGTATATATGTACGAGTTAAACCTTAGAGACATCTCAAGGTTGGGGAAACCCCTAGGTTGGGGAAAACCCCTTTGTCTTACTTTTAAATGGTTTATATAAAGGTGTTTTTATGTAATTTTTTTATTCAATTCGTTCCAATTTGAAAATTTTGAACGTAACTATACTTAAAGTTATGTAGGGCATTGCACGTCTCATTTCTGTAAAATCGGTATCAAAGGAATTCGAGTGAATAACTACCAAAATACCAACTAATAGAAATGAAATATTTTGATTGAAAATGGGTCTGGTCCCTCGAACTCGTTCGCTACGATTTTTTTAGAAATATATGATTCTGTAAACATTTTATAATTGAAATAAAATGGAAACACTATTACTTCGTCCATATATATCTGCGAAATTATGCCTTGGTTCTACATTTGCGACGGTTGTTTAATATTTTGTTTTCGTGTTACCCGATGTCGTGAAACACAGACTCAATCAGGTTTCTGTTTCTCATTGTGGATTTCCTCATGAAATGTAATTCAGGTTTTGACTTCTTGCAAAACTTCTGTCATATAATTTTATTTTAATTCCATTTGTTGTTGTTGTTGGTAGTGTTGTTTTGTTGCTGCTGTTGGTGTTGCTGTTTCTTTGTTGGTATTTTAAACTTGTACTGCTAATTTGGTTGCTCTTTCAGTGTCTGTTTGGTTGGGCTCGATTGGTTAACTGGCTGAATGTTACTGCGCTATCGTTATTATTAGATTTTTATTCGTTATTTCTATCGCATGGGGGCGAGGGAGGTCGCAATGGATGTATTTGTTTTTGCTATCGAATTGAAATTGGTAACACACCCGCTTTTGCTAAATGTGAACGTGTCTGAGATAAATTTATCCAACACCAAATTAAAGCCGCACAACAAAGTTATAACAACAGACCCTAACTACAGTCACACAGCCATGGCCCTAGTAAATAAAAACAAACAAAACAAAAAGACAACAACAAAAAACAATCAATCGCCAACAACAACAGCAACACGCAACGTACAGACCCAGTACCACTAAGACCCAATTGATTTTTTTCGGGCGAGTGAATGGTAATGGTGTGCGGGATAATATTGCACATTTATTGCATAATAATTATTTGTTTCTCTTCGTTCGGTACATTCACAATTTAAAGTTTGACTAAATCAATTCGTGTGGATATTTTCGTAATAAAAAATTGAACCAAAAAAATTGTTTTCAATTTAGCCAATCATCCAACTACATACCACCGTTACAATGAAAGTAAAGTCATGTTCGATGGTACACATTTCAATAATTGTAACATGTCGAGGTTAAACTACTAGTTAATAATGTCATAACCTCAATTGGTAACAATTTGAAATGGATGTTACAAAATGCTTCAAATGGGTTCGTGTTTTGTATGAAAAGGCTAATAAAAATAATTCTATAAAATTGCACAACGTACTCAAAAAGTTATCCCAAGCATAGTTAACGTAGATACAACGAATACAATTGTCATCAGTACTATCAAAATTATATTTTTAAGAAAGAAAATTCCAACATTGAATATAATTTCTCATAATTTCTCTTGTTGATTAAATTATTATAATATTAATTATTATTTTTCGCTGAAACTTTATCTGAATAACAAGAACGTATATTAAAATAATAGTTGAATTCATTTTCTATCCGGAAAATTTTCAAAAGTAAAATAGTCAGTTCATTTCCCAAATACCTATGTATTTTCCAATGATGCCCTGTAATATTTAATTTGTCGACTACGGCTTACTTTGTTGTTTTTTGAATATAAACTAATCACAAACATGCATGGGATGAAACGGCACGTTTCGTTGTCCATGACAGAAACATGGACGAGAGGAGCTGTTAAGCGACTGTGACAGTTCGTAAATAACCGGAGGCGTATAACATTTTGTCATTTCATTATTTTTCCATTAATTAAAATTTGTTATGGGTTTCATATTTAAATACAATATTTCGCTCTTCTTCGACTGACTGTTATATCATTAAAAAAAGCGCACACACATACCCATACACAAAAGTTTTAGGTATGCTCTTGTTGGTCGTACTTACCGCACATTGTTGTATATTCAGTATTCAATTAATTCCTCCGAAATGTATATTTAAAAATCTGCAAATAAATGGAATTAAAAAGAATATTAAAACAAAGGATTTCCCAAACATGGCTATAAATCGAATTAAATGTGTGAGTAAAACATGATTTGTTTAATTGTTTATGTTTCATTTAAATGTGTCCATGTGTGTGGTGGGTGGAGTAGTAGAGCATTTGATAGTAGTTGCAAATGTATTCATTATTTGGTTCGGTCGCTCGATGCTATTCAAAATGTAATTAAGCGTACCTCTATTACATATCCATGTCGAGCGTGAGTGCAGGGATATGTTGTATTTTTTGGGAGCAACGATTAGTGTAGATTCAACAGTAATTAAATCTGTAGTGCAATAACCTTTCTAGCAGATTTAAGAAAATTGGTATATATATGTAATCACAAATAATGTAAAGAACAGCAAACTTTAGTTATGTGATAACAAATTTTTGAATTATTGTTATCACCAAAATTATAATTTTTCGTCCTCAAATATATGTATGCCAGGCAACAAGACTTTATCATAAGGTAAGTCAGGATTTACATTAGGCAATTTTAATTGCCCCGATTCTGTATTTTGTAGGTGAGAGAGTCGAGGAGAATGACAAACCTTCACCTCTCTCGCCCTAAAATTGACAATTGTCACAAGTAAAATTGCGTAATGTAATTGTGATACATGCTCATTTGCCAGCCGGTTACAAAATTGTCGAAATTTGAAATCGAGTATAAGCGGGAGTCCCAAATAGAGAAAATAATAAGGTTGGGGAAAAGAAATCCATTATTTTTATATGAACTGTAGGACTTTATTTAATATGCTTCGGAATGTTCAATTTGCGCCAAATATGCACCGTTTCGTTGCCTGATTTGTTGCCATTTCGAGAATATCGGTTCCACATATATATTTTAGTAAATGGTGCACCAAACTCCTAATGTTTGTCCGATTGACACGAAATTTTGCACAACGTACCATATATATTTCGAACGGGTGTCTGATTGAGATTTTATTTTTAACAGTGCGGCATACTGAGTGGCGTGTATCATGTTTGCTATAAATCGATTTCCTTAAAAGTGATCGAAATTAAATTTAGCATAGGTTGACATGACATGAAATTGTTAGGATACATATATACAATATACATATAGTGGTGAAGGGTATCATATAGTCGGCCCAGTCCGACTTTGCTACTTTCCTTACTGGTTTTTCATAATTTAGGGTCGATCAACGTCCGTCTGTCCATGGCATAAATTTATAGGTCGTGGAAAAATATGTATTTTTTAACTGTTTCCTTCTTTGATCTGAAAACTATAATATGATAATCACTAAAATAAATTAATAGTAATTATAAAAATGATTGTCTCTAAAAATGCACCACTGTTGTAGTTTTATTTATGGCTACAATGTTTAAACACCGGTCAATATTACTAATATTCGAAGAATCAGGGGTTTCCCAAAATATTGTTTAATTGTTTCTTGATTACAGACATATTTAAATAAACAAATATACATATTTATAAGACCTATTCTTATCACACTCGTTATCAAAATCGTTAATGCGACAATTTGTACATTAAAGTCGGTCGTAAAAAATGGTGGATCGTTCTAGGTTTTTAAAAGTATTTTTGTAGATCAGTTTGTTCTTTTAACTCGACTCCTTGTGTGTCTTTTGTCCGTATATTATTGAACCGTAACCTAATTACTACAAGACGACATCCAAATATTCGCGGATAATGAATATTTTTGTGGAATATTTGGGTATCAAAAAAAAATCTTGTCTTGTCTTAAAAACATTCTTCCTGAACTGATTTGACTGAAGACATGTCAACTCAAAAATTACGTACTGGGTTAATAAACTCTATCTCCATGAATTATAAGGCTTGGCAGTAAAAAATCATCAATTTCTAAAACATGACCTATGGCTATTTTACACTTTTGGGGTTTCCACCCACATAGTTATATTTGCTGATTACCAAGAAAATAGTGCACAGTTTTGTGAAGATATATTGGTATATAGTTGGTATGCGATACTACTCAATTTTGTCTTAATTTAAAATCAAAACAATATTTGATAAAGGTGGTTTACTATATTTTCCATTTACTTTTATTCATTAACATAAGCCATTACAAATAAACTATTCTAGGGTGAGATCAATACTTTGTAGACATCGTTGATTTTCACCCATTCTAATTAACCAGAGTCGATTGTATCATTTTATTTGTTGGCTTACTTGCGCATTTCTCCAAACCAGTAATTTCTACAACTCACTATCGTATTGTTAATTCTTTGGATTTTTCGTTCAATGGTCACTTCAATGAGGATGATTACGCATATTGATTGTCTAACTTAAAGAACGTCACGTAAAGGTTTTAGTCCGTAGAATATTATAACGGTATTTTGTAAATGGACATGTTATGAATATTAAATGAAAAATGAAATTTATTTTGTCCGGCCGATTGGTTCTTCTAATAAAATACCGCAAACAATAATTCTCTTACGCACATACATATTCGGTTTGTTGCGGTTTCTTTCAAACTTTGCTATAATTTTAGGTCAAGGTCGGGCACAGGACTTTCATGCGGTAGCAGATCTATAACATGTTGACAAATAAAAGTGACATATGCTTTTGTCAATCTGTCACACACCCTCGCACACACACACACACACACAAAGCAGTCGAATAGAAATGTCAATTAGAAATGAAGTAAATTTGTCTGGTAACATAATGTTTTCGACAGGATATAGTGTTTTTAATATTTTCCAATAAGAAGACAAGAAATTATCATCATTTGTATTTGATTCAGGTATAAGTATTGATTGATTGATTATTGTAATGGAAACAATGGGGAATCCTTACATATGTCACACAGGATATTTGATTGATTTCATTGTAGAATCTTCATGAAGATAAAGGTCTTCTGTTTTTGTTCTAGATATGTGATTCATATGGATTTAATGAACATATTAGATTTGGAAAAAAATGTGTTAAACTTTTTTGTGTGGATCCATAAACCACAGATTAATACCAAAAAAAAAACTTTTGACATGTGTTTCATTATTTCACATTTTAAACATCGAACAAATGCAGATGAAATATAATAACAACTATTTGAAATAATACATATTTTATTGAAAATTAAATTATTGTGACATATGGAAATTTAATAAGTGCAGAAAGAAAAAAAATCGTATGCGCCTTTTTTCTATGTCACCATATTTTATTGTCATTGAACACAGCTTAATTTAATTTGAAATAAATTTCAATGATTTACAATGAACATTAACATGATTGCTTTTACATATTGTCGAACTATGCAGCTAAATTGTTATGTAGGAAAAATAAAAAACCTTATTTTTTTAATTTTAAAATTAAATCATTTATATTAAAAACAAATTTTTAAATAGATACAAATTATTACTATGTTAAAAGTAAAAGACCTAATTAGTCATATCTGTCCTAAATGGGTATTGCAATTTGTATTTGATAGCAGGTATGAACAACGCATTGTATTTTTCTAAATACTGATTCCCACGTAAATTTATTTAGGAAATGGGACCAGGGCAACCCTGTTATAGTTTTGGAAAAATCCCAAAATAAAAAATAGTGCTGTTATATAGAATTGGAGTTCACTACATTGCAAAATGAGTCAAAGATTGTCAAAATAAAAGTAGGTTTTAGGGGTTATAGCACCAAAAAGCTACATTTCATTACTTTTTTCAAGAAATATACCAAGATTTTTATATGATAGATTACACCTTGACCTTGACGAAACACATACTAAATCAGTTTGCTGTCTCTGCTGATCCTACAAATTTTGTTCTCTAGCGGAATATTTTCGATTTTAACGAAGTCACTCCTTTAAGGACAATTTTTTAATATATATTATGTACATAATAATCTCACAAAAACATGTGAAGATAGCAATATACTTTCCGAGCGACAGTGAGCACAGCTTTCAAATCTCAGCCAAATTTTGTCTGATCGATTTTTAAAGGTTAATGAGACAATAAAAATTGACTTTTTAATTAAAAATTGTGGAATGTCTTGATAGAATCTCACAATTATGTGGGTTTTTCATAAATGGATTTTAATCATCCCAAAATATCATATATTTCCCGGCCGAACTTAATGTCATTCACAAAACAAATAACAAATAATATCGTATTTGAAAGCGTGGTGGCAACGTCTTATCATTCTTATCAACCAAGCTCAATTTCCGTAAGCAATTAAATAAATATGTAAACAAATGCTGTATTGTTTGCTTGTTTTAGAACATACACACAAAACGCAAGTACCCACGCCTCCATACCCTTCCTTTCCCGCACCACAGTCAATAACACACATTTATAAGTACAATATACAAGAGCCGACAAAAACACCCAACAAAAAATCACAACTCAGACGACAACAATCAATTTCCTAAAATCATTTCCAAGTAAAATTGAAACGAGCAAAAAAGTTTCCCCTTCAACCCGCACTTTTACTTAAAAAATTACTTGGAAAAAAAGCTCATTCTTTCAAACAAGAAAAATAGATATTTTTGATAAGAAGAAGACGAAGATAAGACACAAAGTCAAATAACAAGAAACACATTAAGAAGAACAATTTTTAATATTTGTCGCAATAATTGTGCTGCAAATAATTGTTCTATTAATGACTAAAGTTTTTGCATGAGTGTACCGAATGCAGTACTTTTCAGTGAAATCGGTCGGGCACAGTGCCGTGAAACGTTGATTGAAGAATAAAAATACAGAATTTCAAAATGAGAATTAATTTTTTAAGACATTTGCAGTAATTAATTTGAATTTCGTAATGAGAGGAAAATAGTAAATTTAATGTATTTTGAATATATTCGAAATTCATTACAGTAATATAAATTTATTATATTGTTGAAACTGCCTTAAAACCTCCACCAAATGCTTTCGAATTCTGTAACGTTTAAATTATGTTACATTGAACTCAAACCAGTTTTCTAGTTTTTTCCTAGTTCATTATGCACAACATTCATTCATTTTACACGTTTCTAGAAATATCTTTCCTTTTGGGCTATATAGTTTACTTTTCAATTGAAAAGGTGCTGATCTCCTCTAGACT